ATTGGTGGTTCTCAACCAGGGAGACTGTGACCCCAAGGGAACATTTGGCAATGTCTAGAGATACTTCTGGTTGTCACAGCTAGGGGGTGCTACTGGCATCTGGTGGGTAGAAGAAAGAGCTGCTCCTACACATTCTATAAGGTACAAAACAGCCCCCTACAACAAAGAATTACCCAGCCCAAAATCTCAACCCTACCAAGGCTGGGAAACGTCGTTTTAAAGGAATCAATAACAGAAGACTTATCCAGAAAACATTAACACAATGTTTTGTTTAACTGCACAAGCAAGCTGATAACATTCTTCAAAGGTGGCTAATTGATTTTCTAAATAATAATATCAGGTGCTAGGTACTATTAACTAACTAAGATTATACTCACATCCCCATCTGCACCACTCATTCACAATGGGACTTAGGATATGCCTTATGCCTTTCTGAACCTCACAATGTTCTCTGGCCCCCAGTACACATTACCTATAGAAAAAAAGGGCTTCATAGTGACCAGCCAGCACCTGTGTGACAGAGCTAAATGAAGAATCCAGATTGTTCTGACCTCTAATTTTTCAATTCTCTGGGCTCAACAAAGAAAAAAGATATCCACCATCTACTTTAGTTTCTAGTTAACATCAATTTTGTGTTCTGCTTAAACAGCCAATTTTCATAGGTCATATCTCTAACTGTTCATGATTACTTAGTCAATCAAGATGGCATACACATTCCACTAATGGTTCATGATGATTATTCTAAGTATAGCAAGATAAATCACACATTTAGGGCAACTAAATATGTCACCGGTTTAAAAAAAAAAAATGCGAGCTGCCTTTTGAATAGAGACGGGAGGAGGTAAGGAAAAGACTCTTATAGGTGCATGCCTATGAGTCAGCAGCTATACCTTAATTATTTTTACAAAAGGTATGAGAGAAGTAACAATCAAATAACAATGTGTCACTTTTATTTCTAAAATAAGAGAGAATACAAATATTTACCTGCAAAAACAATTTCCATCCAGATGGTAACAACCTCTAGAAAATCAACTGTATTTTGGTCTGGTAGCTTAATAATGATTCTATGCCTTCAAAACATATAATACTAACCTGATGACATAATTCCCATATCCAGTAGGATCTGCCAGACCCCTATGGCCATTGACCTGCACTGGACAAAAGGACAGTGTTCCAGAAGCCAGTCTACCAGCTCTGACCCAACACAGCTTCTCCTGGACAAAAACAAAGCCATTTGCATAAGACATTGTTGCTACTCATTTGCCAAAAAATTGATATTTAATACCATCCCTTTCATGTGCTTGCTTTTTGAAAAAGTGACTCGAGAATAAACGACATGTACTTCTTATTCATCTTTCAGATTTCGGCTCAAATATCACTTCCTTAGAGAAACTTAGAAATGTATCCTCTTATACTTTTTCTTCAAATCATCTAACATTTTGTAATTATACATCTTTCTGAAAAAATAATATCTGCTTTCCTCACTTAAGGATAATTTTCAGGAGAGCAAGGACTATGTATAACTCATTATTAAACCTCAACAACTAAGACAGACCTGGGACATAGTAAGCTCTCAAAATACATGTTTGAATAAATGAATGAATAAATTTAGTAGTCCTTTAAATAAAGGTAATGCTTTTGCCTTGGTAAGACAAGTACCTCAAGCTGGTGATGATAAACTTTGGTTCATCCATTTATGGATTTCTATCTAATCTCTTTGAAAACAAAATAATTCCAAGAAGGTTAGACAAAGTTGGGACTACAGTGAGAAGTGTAGAGTTTTGTTTGCTACTCTTCAGAGATTAAACTCGAAAATGTCTCAAAAAACAATAAATTTGACTGTTAATCTTTTAAATATAATCTAAGCAATTGAGCTAAGCAACTTAGATCATAAAAACCCATAAATCCAGATGTATGTGATGGATTCCACTAACTATACACACATATATACACAATAGTCTCTGTAATCTTAAAATACAGAACTATATTCAATGGATGCTCCAATCTGCCAAATACTGCCTTATAAGCAGTATTTTCGCATCTATGTTTCCATCTTTATAAGCTTCTGATGAAAAACTAAAAAAAGAAAAATTTTCGAAATATGGTTTTTCATTTCAGAAATTTCATTGAATCCCACTCTCCCTCATGAGAAATTGTCACCAAAATGTTTTTTTAAAGATATATCATGTAAATGGCTATATTTATTCTACGTTTGGTATTTAATGACTAAAAGATGTCGACTTTATTTGTATTCCCAAAATAGGAAAATATTGTCTATCTTTTGTGATTAGTATGGGCACAAATACTTAGAAATCACGCAGTAACCAACAATATGAAGAAATGAGGTGCTACACTTTCTAGGGTAAAGAAAACATAAGGGAGTAAGCTTTCATGCTGAGATATTTGATCAAATATTCTAGCTTTTGATAAAGCATCACTTTTTTTGGTACAGTATCACTATTTATAAGATACTCTAAGGCAATTAAGGCAATAACAGACACGTTTAATTGCAGGTTAGCATTAAGACATTACAAAGATTAACAGTCAAATAAATGTGTTTTTAAAAAAAAAAAAAACAAATGAGAAAACAGATCACAACAAAACAAGCAATTAGACCAATATTAACTTCTAATTCTATAGGACACCTTTCATATTAAAGGCTCAAAGTGTTAATTAATTTCTCAGCACCTCTGTCAATTAGCCAGCATCTTCAAGCTAATTGCTGGAAGCACTTTTATCACATGTATTAAACACTGTTGTTTTTAATCCTTATTCTCAAAACATTAGAGTAAGCTCCTCAGCTTACTCTATGTCTGACATGACCTGGAATATGAAAGGACACAACAAAATGTTTCCTGAACAAACTAAACTGCCAAATTGCAAACAGTGGCTAGACAGATTGCATGTGTATGTTCGTTCACACATGACGGGGAAGAGATTTCTTAGACCAGGCCTTCTCAAAATCATGTTTAGGAGTCACCTGGGGGATCTTGTTAACGTGAATTCTGAGGCTGTATGGCTGGGCTGGGGTCTGAGAGTTCTCATTTCTAACTGGCTCCCAGGTGACGGTGGTGACCACAGTGCCCCGACCCTCAACTCTACCTCATCAAGGGTTCATTTTGTTTGGAGGGGTGAGGCTGAGTCAATATGCTAAAATACAGAACTGCCATGACAACATTAGCGAATAATGAGGTGAGCTGCCTCTGCATTTCACTCACACTCCCCTGACTTCTGGGCAGGTCCACTACAATCCAGTTAAAATAGGATTTAGGGGAGAGCAGTGAGGAAGAAAACAGAGATATTTGGAAGAGAGCAATCTGAATACTGCCACCAGTTCTTACTCCCAGAATATTTTCGGTCTTGTACCGAATCCAGAAGAAACTGTTCCAAGTACACGTAGATGTAACTACAGTTGCAATACTAGGTAGGAACGCTGATAGGGAGTGCGATTAGCTACAAGGTCGATGTGACTGCCATAATAAAGCATTGATTTTACCAGTCTCTGGAGTTGAACATTTGATATCTTTTGGCTTCCTTCTGTCTCTGGTTACATTTTTAGCAATTAATTCACGGTAGTGCAGCCAGAACCCTAATCTGGAGTACCAATGGGATGATGATATTCAGAGACCAGTTTTGAAAGTAATTCTCATCTGGTACATGGGGAACACTTTACCTCAATTTACTACCAGACATATGAAAATAACCTGTGCTAGGCCATCGTCTCAGCTCTTTGTTTTTAAACCCAGAATATTAATCAGCCTTTAGACTATAAAAGAAAGGAGTTTCTGGCCCCACTTTTGAGAACCTGAAATAGCAAAACACATGCTTTCTCCCCATTCTATTCCCATTAAACCCTAAGAATGTTCTGACTTGGACAGAAGGCCCTTTTCCATGAACCTGATTAATGTACATCTCCAAATCTTTTTTCAATCTATATCCATAGAGATCACATAAAGAAATGAAACTGAAAACAACAACAGATGTTACACACAGCTTTATGCAGTGGCTAAAGTGAATCCCATGAGCTTGCTCACATCTAGACCCAAAGACTTATACAGTTTTCGTTTTAAAAAAAGGGGGCGAGGGGGATCAGATGTGTCTAAATTTAGTTAACTTAAAGAAACTTCCTTTATTCTGGGAATCTTTCCCACTTTATTTTGCTGTCCCTTATTGTGCCTACCCATCTTATTCTTTATGGTATTACAATCTCATTTCTATAGGATAGAATAAAGGTAATAAATGGTAATATTTTTTTAATTCTTGTTTTATTTTTGTAGTTTTGGTATTGTTTGATATGGTTTAATATCTTTACTTAAAATAAAAATAAAAACTGAAAAAAATAAGGTAAATTTACTTTTGTTTTTTCTTTAAACTGCTCCAGAAAATGAAAACATCTACTCCTAACTTTCTAAGTCACGGCTATCTTGGTCCAGCTGTACTTTAAAACTGGCCACTAACCCACCATTTATTCTAATAACTCTGCCTTTATTCACGAGCCAGTGCAGAAAAATGCTACCCCTATGCCAACCTGTCCTTTCCCCTCTTTGCAGTGCCCAAGAGGATGCTCGCTCTCACCTGGCGAGTTGAGCAGCAGTTCTCTCAGTCCATGGACCTACATACAGAGAGTCCTCTCTTAAAGAGGACCTAGACTTATGGAAGTCCTAGTGCAGCACACGCCCAATAAAATTACTATAAAATATTCCATCTCGGAGAAAGCAAAGACTCTCAGGAATCCATCCACATCTGTGGCTGGGGATTCCAGACTCTGACTTCAGAACCAGGAGTCCAGCTCTCAACAAACACTCGGCTAAATTTAAAGAAGGGATAGGTCACCACCAGCATCCCGAGTAGACACTTCAAACAAACTGACCAATCCCTCCTACTCCTGTCCTGATATAGCCTAGCTCTCTGTGATCAAGGTTACAATTTTAACACATTTTTTTTTTTTTCGCAAGGAGAAATTCTGACAAGGTATTAGAAAACTGTGTTACCTGTAAAATCCCTTGAGGTTCACTCTGTCCTTTATCAGGTCAGCTGCCTGAACAATAATGATATTCCTCAGTGCTCTTCCTGCACAAGAAGAATTCTCTCCATAAATCTAAGTGGAAAAGACAAACAATCACTGAAAGTTTGGAACAATAATGTGACAATCTGTAAGCATACTATACATAAAAACCACGACCAAATCCCTAAGTTTAAGACACTTAATGTAGCTACAGAACTACAATTGCTTATTGTATTATCATTTTGCTACTGGTTCATTTATGTTATTGAGCTATTTTCCACATGCTAAACTGCTTTAACTATAATTATAAATAATTTCTTTTTACACAAAATTTTTAGAGTAAAAACACTGTGTTTTTTAAAACATAGTATTTCTAGTAATACAACAAATTGAAGAATATTTTTATTATACATTAACTCTGCCATATTGATAATGCATTCATGTAAAGGCCTTAGAAGGTGGGAAAATAATATTTTCCTATCTAGTGAACATCTTGCACCATGACACGATTTGATAGCAGGTTGCTTGCTATCTGCCTGGCTTTTAAGCTTCACTCAACTGCAGAGTTAATAGTTAATTCCAAGAATCCTGGTTTCATCTACTTCGCAATTCCATCTAGCAGATAAAAATTTCATTTAACTTCTTTTTAATCTTCTAATTTGCCTATATGAGTGTCTAATTCTTGGAGAATGAAGGAGGGTATTCTTTAGACCCAGAAAGTTCTACGTCCTACTTTTATACTATCTCTTCTCTCTACACTTGGCACCTCCCTATGGAGTGCAGTGCCGCTTCATAAAGAAGGCTAAATGGAAACGAACTGTCTTCAGAAGTAAATGCTCAGGAACGTTAATACATACTGGGTGTATGTGCTCACATCTATTTACCAGTTTCTTTCTGAACTCTTTTTGCACCTATAAAATTTTGCCCCTACAAAATATATACCTTCTCTCAAAGCAAACAAACTAGTGATATATTAAGACTTGACAGGGAATAATTCAACCCCATCTTTAAACTTCCTCAATTTTCCTGTTATCATCTCCTAAACTAATGAGAAACTGAGAAGTGTGGGAAATAACTTATTTTTAACATGTTAAAACTAAAAAAAAAAAAAAACCTAAAAAAAAAAAAAATTTTAAAAAAAAAATTTCTACAAGTCAGATGACAGAAACTATTACCATAAAAGACCTACAAGTCAGTTGACACTTGACCAGTCCTGACATGATACCAATGGTCAGTCACTCAGTCATTCAAAAAACATTTAATAAGCAGCTATCAGGCTTCATTCTAGATGCTGGAGATACAATAATGGAACAAGGCCAAAAAGGTCCCTGCCCTCACAAAGTTCATGGTCTCCAGTTATTTTAAAAATTGCAGCTCCTTATTGACTGATTGTTTAACACAACACAATCAAGGCATCCTCATACAGTGATATTCTACTATTAGATAACTATAAATATAAACAATCCAGTTTTCAGTGTAAAATATCCACTATTTTAAAAATACAATGTTTCTATCAATACAGCAAATTGAAAATATTTATGTTATAAATTAACTCTGCTATATTGCTAATGTATTCTAAAGGACTTGGAAGATAGGGAAAAAAACTTTTTTTCCTTTGTAGTAAACATCTTGAACTATGACAGAATTATTGAGACATCTCAAATACCTTCGGCTGTGTAATCCGCAGGGGAAAGAGGTGGCATGATCAGGAGCAAAGGGGACAGGTATAACTAGAGAATTCTACATCAGGATTTCTGAATTACTGTTTCATAAAATACTGTAAGAGAGAAAAGAATCATACCTGGGAAGAAGTATGTTCAAGGTATGGATTGGAAATTCTTCTCGATAGAGTCTATTTTAAAAGAAAAAAGGGAAAAATTAGAACCAAATAGAAATCTTTGTACCATAAGGGCACAATATGCGCAGTGGCAGGCCCAGCAGTTGTCCACGCCAATCGATGAGCTTAAATCTCTAGTCACAGGCCACAGCGATGGATTAACGTCCTTATTCTCATTCAGTGTATCTGGTCAACATTCGTGCCAGGAGGACAGGATATGCCATTTGAATAGCCCCCAATCTAGACAGCACGACTTTAAAAAGTACAACAGAAAGACAGGGATGTTTCTGTACTTGTCACTTTACTCTCGATCTGATTTTAATTGCATTTCTCTTTTCCTTTTCGCTTCCGCTTCCACCAGTCTAACTCAGGCTTTTATCTCTATGCTCCTGAACGGCTGCCTCAGCTTCTCCAGGGATTTCCCTGCCCTCTAGTTAAGCCCTCTCAGGCCATCCTGCAAACCTCAACTCAACAAATGTCTCTAAACCGTCCCCTGGACTTACAGTGGGTCTCTTACTGCTTCCACGCATCAATCCAGACCCCCCGGCCTGCCCTCTGGGCCCACCACAGTCTGCTTCCAACTGGTTTCTAGTATTCCCTTTCCACCTCCCTATCTGGCTTCTTTGATTTATCAAGAACTCATCAGAAGAACCTGCCACTCATACCCTGCCTCCACGCACACCACCCTCCACGTTAGCAAGCCCTCCGTCTCTCCTGACACTTCCTTGAATCCCATTAGTCTTTGAAGTTCAGATCTGTGCGATCACCTCCTGGGTGAAGCTCCTCTGATCCGCCGCGGTCCACCGGGGTTTGTCTGCCTTTGGAGCTCTTTCTTTTCTTTTTCTTTTTTGACTATTCATGTAGCAACTCCTAGGTGCTCTGCATTGTTGGCTGTCTTGCTGTGAGTGTATTTGCTCTAACTAATCCATAAGCTCCTGGAGGGCGGGCGTGCTGGCAGCTTATGCGGCTTTGCTTTCACAGCAGCTAGCACACCACCTTTCACAAAAATGTTTATTTTTCTATTTACTTATTTGTAGATACTTATATCTCTATATCAACTTAGTAATGTAGGAGCTAATTTTTCCTAACTAACAATCCAGTAAGCAGCACCATCACCCACATATGCTTAAGCACAATAGAAAATGACTATCATTTCCCATCGTGGTATAGGAAAAAGAACAGAGGAACTAACACTTACTGAGCTTCCAACCCATGTTTTAAAAGCTCTTTACACCTCTATTCCAAGGCTTGCTGTCTTTTCAGATCCCGTAGTTTTTAGTCTGCCACCTCTACTTCCTAGAACTTGCTAAACTTATAAAGCACACCCTGCCAATCATCGCCTTCCAGCATCTGGACCTTCTACCAAATCTAATCTAAGATAGAATTCCCATTCTGCCTCTTTCTCACTCCATACGCCTTCCACGCTACTTATATTCTAATTAAAGTAAAATAAATGTATAGACTCTTTACCCAAAAATGCCAATCGGTACACTCTGCTAAAGATTTGCAACAGCTTCAAAGAAAATGAAATTTATGAGACAGGCCATTTTAAATTACCCTGTGTTACATAAAACATCCACCTACCCCTTCGAGTCTAGTCTATGCACACTCCCAGTTGGCTCTTCCTAGGCCTTCTGTCATCTGAGCCCAGGTATTGTATTCACTTATTGAAATACTGAACAATTTAAAATTTGCATATCCACCAGATTTATAATTTGAAGATGAATCATGATAAGTGATTTCTTCCTCCCAGAGAGACGTTTAAAAATCAATACGGCAGGCCAGAACTGACAACCTATTACTCATCTAATGGCCCGATTCAGCTCAGAAAAGCAAATAACTTCCTATGATCTAGTTAAGAAGAAAGCGTTCAGGTAGAAACAAGTTCTAAAGAACTAGGCAGGGGCACTTTCACAAAAGTACCACTTCCTTTCTCTCTGCTGCCAACCTAAATCTGGCTATCTCAACTCTGGTTTTACACTCACACAATTCCACTTCACAGAAACCTCCCCCATGGATGGCTCCTTTGAAAAAAATGGGTAAGGCGAGTAAATAAAGCAATGGGATTCTTCCACGCTGACTGGATAACAGTGTTAGATAAGCTACTAGCCCACAGGGAATCGACAAGAGCAACAGAACAAGAAACTGCCTTGTACGGGACACACACCTTGATCTGCTGTCAGAAACTCCTGTGAAGCCCTCCCTGAAGCGGGCCCGGGGAGCTTTGTTTCACTAATGCTGGAGCACAGCAGTTTTCAAACTCAGCTGAGCTCGGGGAAGCTACTGAGCTCTCTGCAGAACTCCAAAAAGCACTGACTTGTCAAACTTAAAATAACTACCATAACTCTGTACTTTTTCGAAGGCTACTCTGTTAGTTGTGGCAAAAATAGCCAAGTGTCAAAGACTGAAAGAAAAAAAGGACATGGAGGAAGAGCCCATCCATTGCCTCATTTTTAACAGGAAAGGATTGTTGCATAATTTTATCGAGGGAATACCATGGGCCAAATTATATGAATCTAAGAAACACTGCTCTAAGTCACCTCATGAGTTCCTCTCCCAGGATTTACCTGCAGGGCTAACACCCTTGAAAATGCACCCCTTTCCATTGCAATATTGTTTCCCTAATATATAATTACTCAGCTGTTTTCATGTCTTCCTCCCATCTTTGATTCCCTCAGTGTTCTTTCTCAGCGTTCCAGGGCTTCATCTAATCACTTCCATACATTTCACATCCATGAAGCACCTACTGAGTTCTTTGCCAGGCAGTGTGGGAGCTTCCAGAAACATGCATATGAACAAGTTTCCATCCATTATTTAGGAATCCATTTACCAGAAGACATAGGATCTAAATAACACTTTAAACCCATGAATTCTCTTTCTTGACCTCACTTTCTTAACAATTTATAGTCTTGAATGGCTGGTCCATTTGCTACAGGGTGTCCTCTTTTAAATGCCTGCCACCATCATACCATCATAAATACAACACCCAGAAGAGATGATGGTTCTTTTCTCCCCCTTTATTTCCAGTTTCCTAGAATTACTTAAGTTAGGTGAAATGATGCTTTCATGGGAAACATATATATATACATACACACAATAGAGAGAAGCCTGGTAACAATATAAATAAAATTAGATTTCAATTCAAATTTATTTCTTCTCCTTTCCATTTTAATAAATCGTGAAAAACGATTCCCTAAATGACCCCAGGCAAACCTCATATTTTAAACACGTATTAGAAAATTGCCACTCTTTAATAGTCACAAATGAACTTCCAGAAAAAACAACAGCAAAACTCAAAAGGGAAAGTGGTTAGCAATCACATATTACCTTCATTTCTTTCAGTGAGGTGTCCACTAAAGTTAAACTATAATAGTGAATGAAGCTGGATCTGAACCAAGCATGGGACTCGTTCCAGAGTCACTATCTTGCTAAACTGTATGGCAGACTGACGGCACATTTTTTTATCGGCTCTTAAAGGACGTGCCTTAATCCTCACCTCGGACTGAGTTAAAGCTCTTGGTCTACCATGGGAAGAAAGAAATGAAAGGAGAAAGGCTGAATCACTTCGCTCACCACAGAAGTATGACTTGTTCTATTCAACAGGAAAACCACCAAGTTTATCGATAACTTGAGAATTCAGTTCATAACACAAATTTGTCACCTTCGGCCATTGTCTTTTTCCCCCTTCTGGTGCCGAGTTGAATAGGAAGATGTTAAAGCAGAATAAGTATACTGAGATTTCTTACAGTCCTGGGAAACCGAAAAGCTCCCTAAATAACTGGAGGGCAGATATGCTAAGAGATTATGGGGATGCGAAATACAGCACAGGGAATATAGTCGATAATATTGTAAGAACTCTGTGTAGTGCCAGGCGGGTCCTGGATGAATTAGGGAATCGCTTCGTAAATTATATAAATGTCTAACTGCTATGCTGTACACTTGAAACTAATATAAAATAATACTGAATGTCAACTCTAATTGAAAAATTAAAAATTAAAAAAGGAAAGAGATTATGGACTAGAACAATAAAGGCTGAGCTCCAGTATAGTTGTCGTAAGACTGCAGGTCCTTTTTAAGCCCCAGGACACATTCATATCCCAATCAAAGCTTGATCAAGGTTAAAAGTACAGAATTCTAGTATACTGGTGCGAGAATTACATGGTCACCATAAGTTAAGCATAATGCAAACTGGAGACAGAAGGGCAGGGCAATTCACCATGACTCTCTGCAAGCTCTGGTCACAATGCAGGCCCACAACCACTTCCCCTGGGCTCCGAGGAGTGAGCTCCCAACAGTCAGTCAAAGCCAAAGGGCCATTTGTAATAATAGCTTCTTAGCATGGCCTGGCCGCACCAGAGTCCACAATGTTCTTAAAATTACATTTTTCTATTGCTCTGTGATGTGCTAAGAAAATGGAATGACAGACAAGGTGACAGAAATGCTTGCTGAGCGCTTTGTCTTCAGCACTTTCCCATATCAGTCACTACACCCACCTGTTCATATTTTTACAGACAAGAGGCTCGAGGGCCAGAAATATTAAGAAATTTACTTAAGGTCCCAGAGCTGGAGAGTTACAGAGCCAGGACTGAAACGAAAGTCATTGATTCCAAAGCCATGCTGTAACATGCTGCATATTACTAAACAATAAAAGAGTTTCTAGTATATCCTAGAGATTCTACTAAGTATTTTACATGCAACGTATCACTCAATCCTTGAAAACCTGTGAGGTAGGTACCATTACTAATCCCTTTTTGCAGATGACAAAACTAGACATAAAAAGGTTAAAAAATGTATCCGAGTTTGCAACCTACGCCTAACTTTAATTACGGCCCCATACGTGTACCCAGGTTCAAGAAAAACTGTAAAAATCAGGGGTTGAAACTGGCAATTGGAACCTCTCATCATCCAGTTTCATCTATAAGGCTTGGAGCACTCCTCAAACATCTCCTCCCTCACACTCTTGGCTGAGTTCATAACACAGGAGAGTAGTAAGTCATCTGATCAGCAGCACTGGG